TAGTTTTTCTTTGAAATAAACCTCTTGTTCTGGCAGTCCTGGCTCTCGTCTCGTCTTTCCGTCGATCCTCAAACTGGCGACGAAGGTGGGATCCTGGCGATTCCAATAGTCAGCACCTAGAACGAACGAGAGGGCAATCAGCCGCAAAGCCGCTCAAACTGCGGAGCATCCACCGGCTCTTCCGACGAACAATTTTTTTTACTTCCTCGCACGTCACAACCTGAGAGATGGCAGCGCTTCCACCATTCGCCCCCTTTGGAACCTCCGGTGAGTCATAGGCCAGGTTCCTTGAGCGCTTTGAGTGCTACCTCATAGCCTCAAAGAATCATAACCTGCCACTGGAGGAGAAGTGCAGCTTCTTCCTCAGCTGCTGCGGCCCAGCTATGTTCGCCTCAGCAAGGGCCCTGGCCTCTCGGCCGGTTTATCAACTCAGCTGGGAGACACTGATGGCGAAGCTAAAAAATCATTACGCTCCCACACCATCGTGCATCGCTCGCCGCTACGCGTTCCACCAATGCGTGCAGAAACCGGCAGAATCCATCAGCCAATTTCTGCAATCCTTACGCATAGCGGCGATTCAATGTGACTTTGGGGACTTGGAGGACAGTTTGTCTGTGGGGTCAAAGACATTCACCTTCGACGCCGTCTCCTGGCTCACCTGGAGATCACTTTGCAGCAGGCCGTGGATGAAGCCAGAGCAGCCAAACTCTCGGAGCAGTCCACGGCCAACATGCAGCGCCTGCAGCCTCTCCCACCGTCTCTACCTCCCCCGCCTCCTCCTCCTCTGCCTCCTCCGTGTCTTCCTCTGGCTGCTCAGGCTTGCCTCATCGACGAGCTGGTGCCACTAGTGGACCCGGACTATGAGCAAGTGGCTCAGCTCTGCGCCCAACCTCGACGGCCTCCCCCTGTGCCAGCTGTTCTGACCTCGTCTGTGTGTGTGGGCTGCAGCGGCAGACACAACCGCTCTGTATGCCCCTTCAAGGGCACCGTCTGCCATCGTTGTGGCAAGAAAGGCCACATCGCCCAGGTCTGCTGTGCCTCGCTCCCTGCGCCTTCCTTCCTTCAGCAGCCTGCCACTTCTCAACCGCAACCGCGCTGCCAGCCTCCGCGGCCTGCGAGGCAGGATGAAGATTGCTACACTGTCACCAGGCCTGATTTCATCAGAGAAACCGTCAGCCAGACGTCCGCGGGGGTGAGAAAGGTTTCTGCAGCCCTTCACCTGAAAGGTCAGCCCTGCCACATGGAGGTGGACTCCGGCTCCTCCCGCTCCCTGCTGTCCTGGTCCACTTTCTCCCGCCTGTGTCCCCATGTCAGCCATGACCAGCTGCAGTCAGTGGACACCTCCCTCAGAGACTACCAGGGGACTCTTATTCCCACCCTGGGTTCCTTCCCCATTTGGGTTGACTATGGGGACTTTCACGGCCGCCTGCCTGTCTTGATAGTGCAAAAGCCCCTGCCTGCCCTGTTAGGCTTAGATTGGTTCCCTCCCCTGGGGTTGTCAATTGGGGGGAATCCATCGGGTAGGTGCCTCTTCCCCCTCTTTGGATGACATCCTCGTGGAATTCATGGATGTTTTTGACGGTCGGCTGGGCTCCTACAAGGGCACCCCCATCTCCCTCAACCTCAATCCCCAGGTTGCACCAATTAGACAGAAGGCTCGCAAGGTGCCTTTTGCCTTGCAGGCCAAGGTTGATGCCGAACTGGATAAGTTGTTGGCGCAGAGCATCCTGGAGCCCGTCAACCATTCATGCTGGGAGATCCCCATAGTGGTTCCCGTGAAGG